TTCAAATGGCTCACCCTGTATATATATATATATATATATATATATATTTTCTTGTAAAATGCAAGGGAACGGAAATATTTGGGGTGATAGATTCAAATGGCTCACCCTGTATATATATATATATATATATATATATATATATATTTGCTTAACGATATTGCTTTCACTTAACGTTTCACTTAACGATTACTAAACTTTATACAAAATAATTTTACTCTATGCGAAACAATTTGCTGTTTCTAGCGTATTCATTCTCACATTACAGTATGTGGAAGAGATAATACACACAAGTAAAAACCACATATATGTAAACGTTTACATATGCTCTTGTATGTATGCGATTTTCGCTTACCACTCTCTCCACTACGATTGTATATTGTTCGCGCCACAATTTTGGCGCTCAGTTACTGCCATAACAACGCGCTTCTCACTGCAAATATTCATTGCCATCCTTCGATAAGTATAAGTACGTAAGTGCTTGATCACGTTTTAGAGTATATTGCCGAATTTTTCATTGTAAGTGTGCCAGTGTATTAGTTGCAAATAAGTAAGTATATAAGATAACTTGCTCTATAATTTGGACAATGAGTGTTTTTATTGCGCGTGTAGAAAATATCGTACTTAAGGCTACTTAATATTAAGGTACTTAATATTGAATTCTAACACAAAATATTTTTATTGTAAAGTGAGTAAAAACGCAAATTCGGATAAATTACATAAAATGGTTGAATTTAAAGACGAAAGAACCGAAAATGGTTGTAAAATAATAGAATGTGTGCCAAGTTCATAGATCACATATGACCATAAACTGTTGATCACATATGACTTGGTTCTTGCATAGTGCAATATATGGATCCATCATATTCATCAGAAGATTATAAATTAATCCAGGATTTAATAAAAATTCGAGCACAACCGCCTGATAATTGGCCACGATTTCCCATAAATTTGAAAAATGACGCAAGTAAGTGTAATTAATAAATAACAAAATAAAAAAGATGACGTAATATGTATTCGCTATTTCTCATTACAGTTAATCTAATATAAAGATACATCAGTTATCTTTCTTTAAATCGTATTTAATTCTATCTCTATTTTGTGAAGATTAATTTTCAACTGTATATGTCATTCTATCGAAAATATTCGTGAGGAAAATGAAGAGAATATCATGATAAATAAATTGTTTTAATTTATGTAATATATAATATAAAAAATGAATATAATGGATATATTATGCATATATAATATATATGCATAAAAATTAAAAATTAAAAACAACAAAATATACTGTTAATTTTATACAGATATTATATTTTTAGTATATTACCTTGAAGAAAATGTGTTTTATAGATTCATATAAAGAAGGAATGAATAAATTAAATATTCTTGAAGTCCAGCTTTACACGACGGATTCTGAGTCACGAGGGATAGAGAAGGCTAAAAAAGCAGTAAAAATTTTGAAATCTCAGGCAGATGTTGAAAAATTGTTATCTAAAGAAAACAATGAATCATCATCTGAACTAAGTATTTAGAAAATGAATATTTTACGATCCACTAATAATTAGCAAAGAAGTATTAATGATCAAGAAGTATTAATGACATCTTCGTTTTCTTACATCCTATTAAGTTTAAATAAAACAATAACTATTTAATAACGTTAGAGAATTCAAATTATTTGTTTCAAATCACCATGTGTGTGTGTGTGTGTGTGTCTATCGGGTCTAAGAACCGGAGTAGAAACACAACTTACGAATTTTAACCTTTGCATTATAACTACATTGGGAGGAATATCGCTTTTCATTTTTACATCTTTTTCTCTTTGTCAATCATTATATCTATCGTTGTATTTTTAATACTTTACATATTTTATGACGTCTCTAATTATGCTTAATGTACATGATACCGTTATGATACCGTTTATTTTAAATTCATAACTTAATCAGCGTCGATAATGGTCAAAATATTGACCGAAACGTTCGCTTTGTATTTGTATTTAAAGATGACTTATGTTTAATTCTTTTTGTCACCTTTGATTGTAATTCATTATTAGATATTAGATTAAAGAATACTATTTTTATATATGACTTCACTTTTAATCATATTCTGAATTTTTATATTTACTACTCTTAACAGCCTTTTATTAAATTTATTATAAGTATTAATGATATTTTTATGTTTATTTCTCATATTTAAGGTTCTACAGATACATCCAGCCCACAACCAGAAAAACAGAAAAGACCAAAAAAAAAGAAATGTAATTGAAGATTCTGATGAATCAATTACATCACCTAACAATAAACTAAGACGAAATATCGTAACAAAAAACTCTGAAAAAAGTTTTTACAACCCAGAACAAATTGCTAAAATGTAAAATTTCAAAGGAATCAAAAACAAGACAATTCAAAAATGTGATGACTGATGAATCGAACATATCAGTCAGAAATTATATATCAAATATATCCAACTGAACGCGTTCTGCTTTTACTTAATAATGAAAACAGTATCATTTGGGAGCATACAATCTATTATTGTGAAAAATAATTTTCCATTTTTATGAAAAGAATTGTAAAATGCCATAATGATATATATTCACAATGTAAAATACAAATTGTGTATTTTTTTGAAAGCTGCTCTTCTTATTATTAAATAAAAGTAGAACGAAATGTATGAAAAATCAAAAACTTTTTTCAGTTGTTTGATAAACATGAGTTTACAAATTACTCTTAAATAAAAAATTTACAAGAAAAATTTCATAACAAATATATATGTGTGTTCTTACTTTGTAACGTTTTATCATTTCAATAGATTCTGAAGTTCTTCCTGGCGAGTTGAACGTAGATGTGTCGGAAATGCTATCTAAAGATATTTCATTGAAAAATATTGCTAAAAGTAAATAATTTAAATTTTTTATATGAAATATACAGAGATTACTTTCATTTATGCCTGAATTCTGTTAATATTTTGATTATTCCTTCAGCTTTAACATTTGTTTATGTATCCATAAAAAAGATAACAATTGAAATTAATTTCATAAAGAATGACATCCAAGCATTGCGTAATTGAATAATAGTATTGAGCGTTCGATGTGTGTCAAAAATGATCTAATTTCAACTCTAATCTTTTTTGAAAAATACAACTTCGTGAAAATTCAATCTGTTGAAGAGTTTAAAAGATTTTTGGACCGATATATTTTTTTCGTTTACATCAATTTTAGGGGGATAAAGGAAAGAGGAACTTATAAATCTCGATTTGAGATTGTTCGTCATCTTAGCAAATTGCTAAGTATTATATATAGAGCTCTTCACAGCGATACATTCTCTATCTTTGTTATTTACAATAAGAGCGATCTAGCCATATAATTTGTTATTTTCACACGCTGGTTGTAATATGCGTGTTTTCATTAGTATACATTGAGACGAGAGGGGTATATAGGTTTGTTAAGGTGTCTGAATAGCTCAGTTGAAAGAGCAGTCGCCCGGTAAGCGGAAGGTCTCGGGTTCGATTCCCGATTCAGCCGACTTTTTCGGACCGATATATTTTTCTCGTCTACATCAATTTTAGGAGGGGGGGGGTAAAAGGAAGAGGAGCTTATAAATCTCGATTTGAGATTGTTCCTCATCTTAGCGAATTGCTAAGTATTATATATAGGGTTCTTCACAGCGATACATTCTCTATCTTTGTTAAAAGATTTGATTTCGAATAAAAAATAATGAATTCGCACAGAATTTTGTAAGTACATATATGCTCTGCTTTTACGTTATAATGCTTTTTAATTTTTAAATATATTATTTTACAGAAAGATGTGTTAGAACAGTTAATAGGATTCAACTGTAAAACAATTTATTATTTCTGTAGTAAAAAAATTTTTACATCGTAGTTTTGCCATGAAATGCACTGCTATAAAACAGATTAATAAATTTATATTGAAAAACACTTATTTGTACGACTCTTTGTTCGGTAAGAAAAATTTTTTAATTTTTAAAATTACTTATAAAAAATATAAATCTACAATGTATAATAATTAAAATTATATAAATTAAAATTTAAATTTTAATTATGAACAGTTAATTTATTGACCAGAGGAAGCCAAGATGGCGGCAAATGAGAAGGTGTGGTGTGAGAGTGCTCCGAAAATAGTTGGAAGAAAAGAAGAAAAAGGAGGTGATAAGTGACAGAAAGTGTGGAATAGGAGGCAAGCGGTAGATTGGCAGACACGTGGAGACAGATTCACAAGAGAGCAGGAGACATACGGAGAAGGAGGGGAGTAGAAAGGAAATGAAAGAAAAGTAAAGGAGGAAGGAAAAAGAAGAATTGAAGGAAAGAACAGAAGGAACAGAAGGAGAAAATAGAGAAGCAAGGAAGAAATGGAGATGGAGGGAATGGCTGTGGAACAGTCGTACAAGTGGCAGGTGCCACAGGAAGACGCACGGCCAGAGAGGAAGAGAGGAGGAAGAGAAAGGAAGAGAAGAGGAATAGGAGAGGAAAGGAGAGGAAAGGAGAAAGAGAACAGAGATAAGAATAGAGGTAGGAAGAAAGAAGAGGAGAGAATAAAAGGAGAAAGGAAAAAAGGAGCGGAGGAGGAGAAAGGAGAGGGTCGATAAGACAGGAAGGTAAGACGGTAAAAAAGGAAACGGAGTAGTAGTGATAGGTGAGAGTGGAAGACGGAGATGGCGCAAGGGAGAGCACGTGAGAGGAAGGAAGTTGTGCGCGCACTATCACGCAGGATACGCACGCAAGTAAGCACATGATGACATGGTGAGGTTAAGGAAAGGCAAAGTATAGGAGAGAAGGATTATTCAGAGACAGAAGTGAGGAAGGCTGAAGGAAGGAGAAGTAGGAAGTGTGGAAGGAAAAGAGGAAGAGGAGAGGAGAAGAGTAAGCGATAGAAGAGGGAAGAAGACGTGAAAAGGACGAAAAGAAGAGAAAAGGTGATCAGGTATAGAGAAGAGAGAGAAAGAGACAAGTGGGTCGGAGAAAGGAAGAGATAGAAGAAGAGTGCAATGAAGGAAGGTGAAGGAGAAAATGAAGGAAAGAGGAGAATGGAGGGGATCAACGCAAGCGGATGCAAGGAAGAATTGAGGGAGTTGAAGAGTAAGATAGACAGAGTGAAAAGGATGGTGGAGGAGATAGTGAGATGGGTAAGAGGGAGGGAGAGGGAGGGAGAGTGAAGAGAGAGAAAGGGAAAAAGACAAGGAGACGGAGAGAGAGGAGATAGAGGAGGAGTCCCAAAGGGAAACAGAGGAAGAAGCGGAAGAAAGGAACAAAGAAGGATTGCAGATGATGGAAGAAAACGGGAAAGGAAGAAGACTGGAAGAACAGGGTAAGCTAGGAGAAAGAGGAGAAGATTGGTAAAAATTAGTGAAGGGGAAGAGGATAAGGAACAGAGGAGAAAGAAAGAGCAAGGAAAAGGGGTAACGGAGAAGAAAGAAGAAGAAGGAAAGACAAGAGGAAAGGCAGAGCAGAGTGAAGGAAAGGAGGAAAAGAAAGAGGTGGAGAGAAAAAGGATAAAGGAAGAAGAAAGGGAAGACAGGAGAAGTGAAGAGGAAAATAAATGGAAAAGGGGAGAAAAGATGTGGAGAAAAGTGATGGAAAGAGAAGGAAGAAGGAGTAAAGAGAGAGAGAGGAGAAAGAGAAGAAAGAGAAAATAGAAAGAAGAGCGGAGGAGATGGAAAGAAGATGGAGAAGGAGAAAAAACGTAGCATGGAGAGGACTGGGTGGAGAGGACCAGGAGGAGAGGAGGTTACTGCTGGAGAGGATGACGGAAGTGGTGTTGGATAGGAAAGTAGGTATAGCAGGGTCATGGGAGGTGAGGGGGGATGATGGGAAATGATAGTGATGGTGGAAATGGAGAATGAAGAAGATAAGAGGGAACTCTTGAAGAATGGGAGAATGATTGGAGGAAATGGGAGGTAGGAATTGAAAAGGATTTAACAAGGGAGGAAAGGAGAATTAGGTGGATGATGATGGAGAAAGCGAGGAGAGAAAGAGAGCTAGAGGGAAAGAGGCAATGGTTAGTGGTAAAAGGTTGTGGGTAGAGAGAGAGGAATGGGAATGGAATGAGGAGGAACAGAGGTTAGAGAAGAAAAGGGAATAGAAAGAGGATATGGAAAAGGGAAACGGAGGTTAGAGAGGTTAGAGAGGATAGGGGATAGAAGAAAATGGAGCGAGGGGGAGAAGAGGTTAAAAAGGAAAGGAAGTAGAAGGAAAAAAAAGGAGGAGGCTAAGGAAAAGGGGTAGGGGGGAAGGGACTCAGATACATTGTAAGGTCGCAAAATGGCCAAGAGAGAAAAGAGAGGATAAGCTTATGTATTATGGAAAAAGGTGAGGGGGGAAGGAGAAGGCAGGAGTTGTTTGTTTAAGGTGGAGAGAGAGAAGCAGGACAGGGAGAGCAGAGAATCTGAACCGGGACGGAGACAGAGACTGCTGTGAGAAGAGGACAAAGAAGGAGCAAAAAGGGAGAAGAGAGAACAAAAGGTGGAAAGATGTATAAAGACGATCGGCAGAGGGAAGTTAAGAAGCAGATTAGCAGAAGGAGGAAGGAAGGAGGAGTGAGGGAGAGAAGAGATGAGAATATGTGTATAAAATTAAAATGTATTGTTTGGAAAAGTATTATATGGAGAGAGAATAGTAAGGAAAGTGTAAAGGGTTTGGTAAACCCTAGAAAACGTCCCGGAAATCCTGAGGGAACCGGAATGGTAAACTCTAAGTCTAAGTCTAACAATAATTCTAATTTATTGACCAAAACTGGCTTATTTTATTACGTGAAAAAATTACGTTTCGATCACTGCTTGTGATCCTTTTCAAGTAAACTGAAAAATACATTGTTAAATTGGATTAAAGAAAAGCAAACAAAACTTAATTATAAAATCATAAATTCTAACTCACATCAACGCAAGCGAATTGATGGTAATCGCTCACGTCTCACATTATTCTGTGAAGCGTCTATATTCAAACGGTGTTCGGTTTATAATGACATATCGATAATAAAAAGGCAAAAAGACAAAGAGACAAAAAGTCAAGCGAAAAAACACAGTAAACAAACGCAAGAAAAACAACTTACAATACAAGCAAGCTATCATATACAGGATTTAAGCGCTCTGTGTCTTTTTGTAAATTAATCGTATTTTTCGTTTTCTTAATATAAAACATTTCCGCTACCTCTCTCTTACGCAATTGTTTTTCTTTATGCAAAATAACAGAATTCTTCCAGTCAAATTCATGGTATTCCACAAGACGATGATTAAATTTTAATATTATTTTTTGTAGGATGTGTGTAGGAAATTAAAAAATTATTTTATATAACTTTTTTGGTTAATTAAATAAAATTAAAATATTTTAAAAAGTTTTTATTTTTACTTAACATAATTTTTTTATATTATTAATTTTTGTAGGATAGGTTTTTACAGGGACGTTACGCGGACTTAGCACCTTTCTGATAGCTGCTAATATGAGGATTTATGTGAACCGTTGCCAAAATGCACAGTACACGTACATCATTCTCGTCATAGTTATGGTTTCGTCTTACACGTACTAAATGTCCTTATCGAGTTCTTAAATAAATATTCTGAATAGCGACATGACTTGGATGTCGTCTTTCTGGATATCGAGCTCGATAAAGAGCAGCAGCTTGACGATAATTTTTATGACATTCGCCAAGAATAAGCAGTATGTCAACTTTTTCTAGCGACGAATAGTCAGCCATTTTATTTGAGAAAAATTTTGAATCAACCAACAAATCGACCAAAACAAATTGTTCGATCAACTACGTAAAATGTTTTACGTAAATTAACTAAGACTCACGATTAAGGGAAATAATAATTAAGGGAAACTAAGACAATTCCACGCTTTCAAACGATGGAATGCCAAGAGTTGCAGTCTTTGATCGATTGATCGTCGTGAGTCTTAGTTAAAACGTACCGTTCTGACGTACAATTGCATGATGTACGTGTACTGTGCATTTTGGCAACGGTTCACATAAATCCTCATATTAGCAGCTATCAGATTGAAAGGGAGACGGGTATACCTAGACGTACCGTTCTGAGAATCTTAAAAAAGCTACATTATCACCCGTATCATATCACATTAACGCAAGCCATCACACAAAATGACATGAGGATGCGTATGCAGTTTTGTCAATGGGCACAACAAATGATTAGAAATGATCCAGCTTTCTTTCGTTATGTTATGTTCTCGGATGAAGCTACGTTTAAGAATAATGGAGAACTTAACAGACACAATTCCCATTATTGGTCAGATACTAATCCCCATTGGTATAGACAAATAAACAACCAATATCGTTGGAGCATCAACGTGTGGTGTGGCATCATCAATGGCTATATTATTGGTCCATATTTTTTTGAGGAAAATGTAAATGGAGAGAACTTCTTAGCTCTCCTGAGAGATGAACTTCCAATATTACTCGAAAAAGTTGATTTGTATACAAGACTAAGAATGTGGATTCAATTAGATGGAGCTGCACCACACTATTCCAGACATGTCAGAGCTTACCTAAATAGGCGCTTCAATGGCAAGTGGATTGGACGGGGTGGGCATGTTGCATGGCCGGCACGATCTCCTGACATTACTTCCCCTGACTTTTATTTATGGGGTTATTTGAAAAATGTTGTGACGACCCGTTTTGTCGTCACTAGAAGCCGCGCAAGCGCGAGGCCGACCGCCCGCCCGCACTCATACAAACGGCCCCTGTCGGGGCCACCACACGTCGAACACGTGGGAATTTGCCTTTTCGCCCCACCCGACCGAACCGCCCCACTCCAAGCTAGTTGGAGGGGGCTGACCAACGGGTATATAAGGCGGTACAGCCGAGACTTCGGAGAGTCCCGTCCTGGTCTCTTGAGCGTACTCAAGGACCACTCCTCACCTCCTAGCCATCCCGGGCGACGAGCGTTCTCGTCGCGTAAGCCGAGTGTTCTCGGGCACCGGATCCTCTCCGAACATCACCCCGGTCGACGAGCGTTCTTGTCGGGCAGGCCGAGCGTCCTCGGTCACCGGATCCACTCCGAACATCACCCCGGCCGACGAGCGTTCTCGTCGGGAAGGCCGAGTTTCCTCGGTCACCGGATCCTCTCCGAACAGCACCCCGGTCGACGAGCGTTCTCGTCAGGCAGGCCGAGCATTCTCGGTCCCCGGATCCTCTCCGAACATCACCCCGGTCGACGAGCGTTCTCGTCGGGCAGGCCGAGCGTCCTCGGTCACCGGATCCACTCCGAACATCACCCCGGCCGACGAGCGTTCTCGTCGGGAAGGCCGAGTTTCCTCGGTCACCGGATCCTCTCCGAACATCACCCCGGCCGACGAGCGTTCTCGTCGGGCAGGCCGAGCATTCTCGGTCCCCGGATCCTCTCCGAACATCACCCCGGTCGACGAGCGTTCTCGTCGGGCAGGCCGAGCGTCCTCGGTCACCGGATCCACTCCGAACATCACCCCGGCCGACGAGCGTTCTCGTCGGGAAGGCCGAGTTTCCTCGGTCACCGGATTCTCCGAGAGTCACCGACATCTTACGGAGCTCGCCCTTCTCAGGGCGCCCGAATCAAAGGCGGTTTACGGAGCTCGCCCTTTTCAGGGCGCTCGTATCCACGCCGCGTTGGGTAAATTTCGTCCGCCGCGCTACTATCTTAGTTATAAGTCGTGTCCGCGTCCGTATGATTTGGTCGCGTTTCACCCGTCGCGTTATTATTTGTAAACCTTAGTTATAAGTAGTGTCCGCGTCCGTATGATTTGGTCGCGTTTCGTCCGTCGCGTTATTATTTGTAAACCTTGGTTATAAGTCGTGCCCGCGTCCGTATGATTTGTTCGCGCTTTGTCCGTCGCGTTATTATTTGTAAACCTTAGTTATAAGTCGTGTCCACGTCCGTATGATTTGGTCACGCTTCGTCCGTTGCATTACTTGTATTCCTTAGTTATAAATCGTGTCCGCGTCCGCATAAGTTGGTCGCGGTCCGCACTTCCTGCGATTCCCCTCTGTACGCGTAGACTAGATAATAAGTCAACTCTCGAAGGGTGGCTTCAATAAACTCGGTTTTTACCAGAACGATTGGCGTGGTTATTGCGAACCTGAGTCTCCCCCTCTTCCCGAATCCTGGCACCGACGAGCCGATCCGTGGCGTCGGGAAAGGAGCCCCGTTACAATGTTACATACGACCGAGCACCAACCACTAGAGAAGACATGGTTGAAAGAATTACAACAGCTTGCAGAAACATACCACGAACTGTATTATTAAAAACTGTCGAACATTTTCATCGAAGGATACAATTATGTATTCAAGAAAATGGAAACGTTTTTGAGCATTTGCTGTAAGAACGTTTCTGACAACGTGTGAGAGGCAAGGGGACTCACGTTAATCAAGCACCCCGAATCGTGAGAGGCAAGGGGACTCACGTTAATCAAGCACCCCAAAGGGAACAAAATTCTACTACGTCCACGTCGTTGTTCCTGGATAGCGCTAAAAGTAGGATGATTCGATTTTTTTTTATGCATAACATGCATAACCACAAAAATTTGGGTGAAAAGTTGATTTGACTTCGGAATGATCCCTAAGAGTCAACTTGACCACATAACTACAACATACAAGATATCGTATTTCAAAATACTGCTTTGAAGCTTTATAACTCGAAAAGTACTTCATGAAAAAACATTTGATTATAATGTTTTGGAAAGATCTCAAAGTCAGCTACAAAAGTATGCAAGAAAAAATATAGTGTTCCATTTAAGAAATTGAAGTTGACCTTCACGTAACCTTCAAATGGCTATTCAAGGTCAAATCAATGACACCATCTCATGTCCCCCTTGAAACCATACAACTTTTATCTGAAACATTTTTGTCTTAAACTTTTGGATTTTGAGAAATTTTAGTGGAAAGATTAAAATGGCCTACCCTGTATATTTTTTTTTTTATTATATTTATTCTTCGCTTTGTTCGGTCGCTTTAATCGCAATTTTCGCCTATCTTTATCCATGGTTTAATTTTGTCTGCCGACAGAATCGTATTGAGCGGCTTTTGCGTGAGATTATAACCAGGGATATCGCATACTACAAATCGGTTGTTCCTCAGAATTTTTTTTAATTTGATAGGGCCCTTTATATTTTGCCGCTAATTTCTGATTAGACCCAGGTTTGTGTTGTAGAATCCTAATCATTACAAAATCTCCCTCCTTATATTTATTTGGTTTTTTGTGACTCGCATCATATCTAGCTTTATTATATTCTTGCACCGCTCGATTAACCAGTTTAGCAGTGTCTCTTAATTCTTCTCGTTCCTGCTCTATATTCCGGTCTATGTCAGCTAAATTATTAATAAATTCTCGGAGCTCTTTATCGGTGGTGTTTCGCTGATCGTATCCTAAAAGTAATCTACTCGGGGTAGTATTAATTGATTTATGGAAAGTATTATTTATTATAAATTGAGCTCGACCTAATCTATTAGCCCAGTCGGCCGGGTTATCAATTAATTTGACTAGGGTGGATTTTAAGAATCTATTCACACGTTCGACCGCGCCATTTGCCCAGGGCGAAGCCACTGCCGTCATTAAATGTTTGATATTATTTTCGTTTATAAATTTTGCAAAACTATTCGCCGAAAAAGCTGTTCCTCTATCGCTAATTATTTTTTCCGGGGCGCCAAACAAATGTAATAGAGTCTGCATGTGCAAGATGACTTGCTCAGATGTCGTCGACACACAGGGGAATAACCATACGAACTTTGTATATGCATCGACAACTACCAAAATATACTTATATTTCTTCGAGGTTTCCTCTAATGGCCCAAAATGATCGAGGTGAAGCGTATGAAACGGTACGGGGGTTATCTCTACTAATTCCATTGCCCCTTCGCGTTTCCCGGCAGCTAGCGAATTACTTAAACATTTAACGCAATTATCAATATATTGTCGCACCCTAATTTTCATTCCGGCAAACCAATAATTTTTTACTATTCCATGGATGGTTTTATCGATTTCAACATGCCCTAATTCGTCATGGTGAATTCGAATTATATTATTTACCATATTTTCTGGTATTACAAATAACTGGCGCTCTTGATATTTTCTAAATATTAAACCATCAATTAATACAAAATATTTATTTTCTTTAAATTCTAGCTCTGTTGCCAACTCTTTTAGTTTGGTGTCCGCCAATTGTTTGTAGAGAACCTCATCTTCTATCGTAATATTATTTATTAACATTACTTGGCTACTTAAGCTGTCCACATGTATCATACGGTTAGAGATACGATGTGTTAATTCAAATTGATAGTTTTGGAGAAATATGCTCCATCTTGCTATTCGCGGATTTATATTAAATTTTTTCATGGCTAGCACGAGAGAGTTGCAATCTGTGACTATTTTAAATTTAATTCCCTGCAGATACATGTGAAATCGCTTGACCGCTTTAACAATGGCTAATGTTTCGAGTTCGAAACTATGATAATTTTTTTCACTATCGTTAGTCGCCTTGCTATAGTACGCGATCGGTCCGAAACATCCATCACTTTGTTTCTGTAACAGAATTGCTCCTAAACCGTGGCTGCTCGCATCGGTATACTGCTCTGTTTCGGCCGATGGATTATATACGCGTAAGGTCGGCGGGGAGGTCAATTCTTGTTTCAGGCACTCGAATGCCTCTTTACATTGAGCATCGAATATAT